ACTGAAGTATTATTTTCACAGAAGTAAAGTTAAGTGAGATTTTAACCCATCTGTACTACCAGTGCATTCTGCACAGCACAAACACTACACTGTCCACTGCAGCTGGACCATAAATGTAATGTTTTTGTGAAATTCTGAGAAAAACAAGTAGGCTATCATCAGAGTGCCCACCCTTACTGCAGGCTTAAAATCACAGAAAGGCCTTCAGCGTAATTCTTCTGACACGGGTGTCTTCTTCTGAGCTTTCCTGAATCTGAGAATGCAGAAGAGAGGGTGCGGCAGAGGTGGAAGAAGCCCTGTGACACTCAGAACATTGAATCTACCTCCGTGAAGGATGGCTGGGGGAGATGTTTACTATTGTCAGTGTTGGAAGTTCATCTAAGAAAAGTAAAGCCAAGGATCTGATAATTACAAACTATCAAGTGCGTTGCCACAATGGCTGTGTTTAACAATAGCCAGAATTTCTAACTGAGAAACAAGAATTTACCTTACAGCAACTGCAATTTTACTGATATGCAGAGCACATCCCCAGGGCCTGAGTGCCCAAAATGCACCTCTCGCACAGCGTTTGCTGAGCCACACATGGGACCTGCCGAGCCTCAACCCATCCTTCAAGGGCACGGAGGTTACTACAACCCCAACAGCCGCTTTGCTGCTCAGAATCACCATTAAAGGGCTCCCCGTGGCTACAGAGAGGGGGCAGCTGGTCAGACTGCTGTGTATCTTGAGAAATACTACATATATATAGTATTTCCATAACTATACTGTATATATATATAGTATGACCACTCTTTCTTCTTAATTATCTGTCCATAGGGATCCAGTGCTTGTTGACAGCCAGCAGAAATCCCTTTAAGGACAGGGCTGCAAGATTTGTCTAATACTGATGAATCACTTTGTTAAACAGGAGATCACACCTACAGGCACGCACTGGAAAGAAGTGATCAGGCAGTTTATAAAGCAAGCTCCAGGCAACTCATATACAAACCTCACTGACAAGGACTTAACTAAATGAAGTTGCTGAGGTCCACAGGTGGAATAAAATCATTAGTGAGTGCGGTTCTATGCACATATATACATGAGGAAAAAATCATGTATGAAATTGAGCACCTAAATTTAACAAGCCATTCCTGCCATAGGAAATCCTTTCCTGCCAAGGGAAGTAACACATTCTCTCTTTCTTGATGTCAGCCATCCAAGCTGACTTACCTTAAAGTAGAGAGGTTTTATTTGAACAAGCTACTGAGATAAATTCTGGTGAAGGCACACATTATACAGGTCAGACTGGGCAACCCTATTGATCACTTCCAGCTTTAAAAATCTGAGTATCTGTGAACACTGTTCAATCTGACTAGCGACCTCATGTGAGAACCAAAACCTGCCTTAACCTCACTACGACTCCAAGCTAGTTATCTCAAGAGTGCTCTTTTCCATTCTTTAGCGAAAATCAGAATTTAACCATAACTTTACCTTCCCTTTCCAAAAAGGGTCTAAAAATTGAAAGGAACGGATCCAAGGATGTCCCTCCTCAATTCTCTATAGTGTATCCCAGCACTGTGGATGTTGACAAGTAACCATACCACCAAAAGCTTCATCCCAGTGGTTCACATCTGCAGTTGTCATCTTTGCAACCACTCCAGCAGGGAGAGCAGGAACACGGTATCATCTATCTAAATACTCTGCAGAAAATTTGTGCAAATTAACTGAGCAGGGAAAAAACAAAACAAAACAAAACAAACAAACATAAACAAACAAACAAACAAAATCCCAAACCACTGAGATGTACACAGTGTGAAATAAAGTCAACATAATGAAATTGTGGAAGAACCAGACCATGGGTTGTCCTCAGGTATGGGTACCTCCTAGGTCACAGTTATCTGACAGCCTGGCCTTATCTCCTGTAGCTCCAGAGCTGTCATACTAGAACAGCTTTCTAGTCTCAGTTAGCTCTCACATGTAAACATGAGACACGTTAAATGTGACCTGCAGCGGTCAAGTTTTCCACTGCAAGTCTACTTTTTTGTCTACTACACTTCACACTGGTACAAAAAAAATGCTATTTGTAGCACTGGTATATACACAGTGACACACAAGCAGTGGCTCGGCTAAGACAGCCTGAGCGGAAAAGCAAAGAGCATGAGACAATGATTCTGTACCTCATGAAAACACAAGTTAATACTTTAGCAGATGTACTTCAACCCTCCAGATACTGTAATTAAAAACAAATACATGCACACATCACCTCAGTTGTTATTCTACTAGTGACCAAAGCAGCCAAGAAAGAAGTGAGTCCATCGTGTCAAGAAGACACACGCGACTCGACAGTAAGCACCTTGTCTTTGCTGGCGAGCGGGGGAGCTTTGGGCTGTGCCCCTGGCTCTGGGGCTGTTCCTGCTCCAGCCTACCCCCTGCACAGACCATAACCCCAACCGGCCTGGCTTCGTTCTCCAGTCCTGTACAAAACAGCCTCGCCCTCTGGCAAAACAGCAAATGGAAAAACGCTGCAGCAGCTTCTGATGGCTTTCCTAACAGCACCAGCAACAACCATCTAGAAGCCAACATCAGCACATCAGTAGGGTGACAGATGGACAGGTTACAATCAGCCATGCCTTCATTAAAAAGTAATGCAACACCCGCTGCAGCATCTCACCTCCGAGAGCCATAAAGCAACCAGAGTTAACAAGAGAATACATTAAAAGGAGCTAAAAATAAGACTCAAGAGACATGATTTGTACATACAGTGACGTTTTTTATTAATCCAATCACTATAACTGGAAAAGTCACCAACCCCTCACACACACACACCCCTTTCTTCAGGTCTGACCTTTGCATACTCAAAATGCTGTACGCTGTCCCCACCATACCATTATGTCTAATACAAACAATTATCTTTAGCTATAAACTTGTCTCACAAATGTCTGTAAACTATCCCCATTACAATAATCATAGAATCACAGAATGGTTTGGGTTGGAAGGTACCTTTAAAGGCCATCTAGTCCAACCCCCCTGCCCTGGGCATGGACATGTTCAACTCAACCAGGTTGCTCAGAGCCCCATCCAACCTGGCCTGGAATGTTTCCAGGGATGGGGCAGCCACAGTTTCTCTGGGCAACCTGCGCCAGGGGCTCACCACCCTCACAATGAAGAATTTCTTCCTGCTATCTACACTACATCTACCCTCTT